TATTTTGGCTTTCACTTTCATTCCCAATCATTTTATAAGGGCAGCATCCAATTCGTTTCAATTCTGCATGAGGGCTGTACATGCCTTCCTTCTCATTTCTTATGGCCACTTCGAAAAAGGTATTTCCAAGTGACGGTAGGTGCAGCGCTGTCGATACTCATCGCACTTTACTCAATACTTGTATTTGAAATACTGAGACAAGCTGTAATTAGTAGTTTGCAGCTTGCACATTTTGTGACCAATGTTGCATCTCCTGATAGTCACTTTGGCTTCTGGTGCGTCTTTTGAAGAAAATACTAGCTTGACGGCTTCCAGATAAAAATATTTGACACAGCTTTGGTCTGGCATCACGAATTGTTAGTTGTTCAAAAATTATTGCAGAGTGTAAACCAATGGGTGACTAAGACGACTCATGGAAAGATCTCCAACCTAATAAGTAAGCAAGAAATTTCCCCGGAAACGAAAATGATGCTGCTCAACGCACTTTATTTCAAAGCTATTTGGAGTGAAAGATTTAACAAGAGCGATACCAAAGAAATGCCATTCGATGTTGATCCGCTGAAACAAATTACGGTAAAAAAGAAAACATTGTAACGCACTACTTTTTCAACAATTATTTGATGACGCTTACGGTGCACTGGTGAATGATACTATATTCGTGCTGAAATTTGGGGGTTTGTTTTCGCCAGTGGTACAGCCATTCTCTCGGCAAAATCTTAAATCGTTTCGGCACTTCCACATCGTCGATGCGCCATAACCGCAGTCAGCTTAATTCCAGTTAACCACGCAATGAGAAGCCATCGACTGTTTTGCGAGTGTGGGTTTGCTTTAGCATGCGCTGCCATTTGACTCATTTCTTGAGCGTCTTTATTCTTTTGAAGATCATGAGAAGCAAAAGAGGTCTTGAATTTAGCGCGAGTGAAGTACAAATGTTATCGCTGTTAAGCCTTGGGCAGCAGGAAACATTTAAATACAGGAAACATGCGTATTAACAATATTCAACATTTTCTGATAAGTTAATTGGCTTTAAGAAGTGCGCAGCTCATTGGACCGAAACAATCGTAGGTAAGCAATCCCACCGTGTAAACTGTAACTTCTTCCAAACACTGATATTTTCATAACACTTCATAATCAGCTGACATCTTCTTTTCATACAACCTTGAAATAAATTGTTGGAGAGGCTTGTAAACAATATCTGA